TTCCACCGGTGAGTAAGCGTTAGGCTTACTATCTCGTAGTAAGCATCAGTAAGCTTACGATGCATCACGTCTGCACTAGCGCTTGATAACAGCCTTGTGTTTGGGTGTTTCAGTAGTTTAAATTGCTGCTCTTGATATTGTTGATTAAACTTTGATACTATGAACAATATAAGGTTATGACTTTAGAACGGTAACATGCATTAATGTATATCTGATATATATATATATATATATATATATAAATATATATTTATATATATAGGATGAGATAAATAGAACAATGAGTAGTACGTCCAGATTAGTGTATAGACAACATCTAATAATTAAATTCAACAACTCTCCTTTTAAGTCTTTTTTCCTGCCTTAAAAGTAAATGAAAGAACACAATCGTCCGGAATACAATGTATAACTCTGGTGCACTTCCATGTGACATAGGATACAGTAAGCTTTCGGGTCCCGTTTGGATCGGTTTGGGTGGCAGCTTAGATATCCATAAAAAAGGTTCATCTCGGAATCTCCCATATAACTGGGGCTCCTCTTCAATTTATATGGAGTTACTTGTTTCTTTCAAGACTATACAGTTTTAGAGACTAAGCATTAGTCTGAATAGACATCACCAGTTTGGAATGTGAAACTAATCTGTTTACAGTAACAGGACACTGCTTAAGTGTCATGTACAAATGGGAAAGTGGAATCCCGTCAATTAGGCGGACGAACCTTAAAACTATTAATAAACATTAAAATAAGCAATATCGGAAAAATGTATATGCACATAATATCTGGCAATATACACCAAGATCACCTTCTACAAAACTAAGTTTTAAATGCCGGTTGATATTCGTTTGCGTATTTGACTTATATTAATATCTTTCGAAAGTATAAATCCTTTTCCTATACTCAAACGTTCCTGAGCCTTGCGCTTTCCTAATTATTTTGAGTAAAAATATTACCGTTATCATTGTATTAGTTAATGGGAAACGCGTGCCGATCAAGTACGTGCCATAAATTAAAGCGACATTGTACGATTCCGAACTTATCACGAGGCTGTGTTTATGAATCATTGTCAAATAGTGGTGACATAGTGGAAACAATACGCGAAATCGCGCATGCACAGAATGGAAAATTTGGACAAGGCATCAAGCAATCAATTTCAGTACTTCCGCTAAGCGCTTCGAGTACAGCGTCAAACTCGGGCCTGCAATCTAACACGCGAGAACTGACCAATGAAATCTGAGAAGTAGGAATACCGGTAGATGCTGTTGCTTGATTGACACTGATTGACGTGGGCGTGGGCGTGGGCGTGGGCGTGGACGTGGGCATGGATGTGGATGTGGATGTGAATGTGGACGTGGACGTGGACGTGTGTGTGGATGTGGATATGGACGTGTGTGTGGATGTGGATGTGAATGTGGACGTGGATGTGGACGTGTGTGTGGATGTGAATGTGGACGTGGACGTGGACGTGTGTGTGGATGTGGATATGGACGTGTGTGTGGATGTGGATGTGAATGTGGACGTGGATGTGGACGTGTGTGTGGATGTGAATGTTGATGTGGACGTGGACGTGGACGTGTGTGTGGATGTGGATGTAGACGTGTGTGTGGATGTGAATGTGGATGTGGACGTGGATGTGGATGTGGACGTGGGTGTGGATGTGGACGTGGACGTGTGTGTGGATGTGGATGTGGACGTGTGTGTGGATGTGGATGTGGACGTGGACGTGGACGTGTGTGTGGATGTGGATATGGACGTGTGTGTGGATGTGGATGTGGACGTGGACGTGTGTGTGGATGTGGATGTGGACGTGGACGTGTGTGTGGATGTGGATGTGGACGTGTGTGTGGATGTGGATGTGGACGTGTGTGTGGATGTGGATGTGGACGTGGACGTGGACGTGTGTGTGGATGTGGATATGGACGTGTGTGTGGATGTGGATGTGGACGTGGACGTGTGTGTGGATGTGGATGTGGACGTGTGTGTGGATGTGGACGTGGACGTGGACGTGTGTGTGGATGTGGATATGGACGTGTGTGTGGATGTGGATGTGGACGTGGACGTGTGTGTGGGTGTGGATGTGGACGTGGACGTGTGTGTGGATGTGGATGTGGACGTGTGTGTGGATGTGGATGTGGACGTGTGTGTGGATGTGGATGTGGACGTGTGTGTGGATGTGGATGTGGACGTGGACGTGGACGTGTGTGTGGATGTGGATATGGACGTGTGTGTGGATGTGGATGTGGACGTGGACGTGTGTGTGGATGTGGATGTGGACGTGTGTGTGGATGTGGACGTGGACGTGGACGTGTGTGTGGATGTGGATATGGACGTGTGTGTGGATGTGGATGTGGACGTGGACGTGTGTGTGGGTGTGGATGTGGACGTGGACGTGTGTGTGGATGTGGATGTGGACGTGTGTGTGGATGTGGATGTGGATGTGGATGTGGACGTGGACGTGTGTGTGGATGTGGATGTGGACGTGTGTGTGGATGTGAATGTGGACGTGGACGTGGACGTGTGTGTGGATGTGGATGTGGACGTGTGTGTGGATGTGAATGTGGACGTGGACGTGGACGTGTGTGTGGATGTGGATGTGGACGTGTGTGTGGATGTGAATGTGGACGTGGACGTGGACGTGTGTGTGGATGTGGATATGGACGTGTGTGTGGATGTGGATGTGAATGTGGACGTGGACGTGGACGTGTGTGTGGATGTGGATATGGACGTGTGTGTGGATGTGGATGTGAATGTGGACGTGGATGTGGACGTGTGTGTGGATGTGAATGTTGATGTGGACGTGGACGTGTGTGTGGATGTGGATATGGACGTGTGTGTGGATGTGGATGTGAATGTGGACGTGGACGTGGACGTGTGTGTGGATGTGGATATGGACGTGTGTGTGGATGTGGATGTTAATGTGGACGTGGATGTGGACGTGTGTGTGGATGTGGATGTTGATGTGGACGTGGACGTGGACGTGTGTGTGGATGTGAATGTGGACGTGGACGTGGACGTGTGTGTGGACGTGGACGTGGACGTGTGTGTGGATGTGAATGTGGACGTGGACGTGGACGTGTGTGTGGATGTGGATATGGACGTGTGTGTGGATGTGGATGTTAATGTGGATGTGGATGTGGACGTGTGTGTGGATGTGAATGTGGACGTGGACGTGGACGTGTGTGTGGATGTGGATATGGACGTGTGTGTGGATGTGGATGTTAATGTGGATGTGGATGTGGACGTGTGTGTGGATGTGAATGTGGACGTGGACGTGGACGTGTGTGTGGATGTGGATATGGACGTGTGTGTGGATGTGGATGTGAATGTGGACGTGGACGTGGACGTGTGTGTGGATGTGGATATGGACGTGTGTGTGGATGTGGATGTGAATGTGGACGTGGACGTGGACGTGTGTGTGGATGTGGATATGGACGTGTGTGTGGATGTGGATGTGAATGTGGACGTGGATGTGGACGTGTGTGTGGATGTGAATGTTGATGTGGACGTGGACGTGGACGTGTGTGTGGATGTGGATGTAGACGTGTGTGTGGATGTGAATGTGGATGTGGACGTGGACGTGGACGTGTGTGTGGATGTGAATGTGGACGTGGACTTGTGTGTGGGTGTGGGTGTGGATGTGTATGTGGATGTTGACGTAGACGTGTGTATGGGTGTGGATGTGGACGTGGATGTTGTTGTGGATGTTGTGTTTGAGAGACTGGAGTGAACAGAACAAGCAACTCGACAGACAAGTGATATGTCTAGCCAAGCCACTGACACTGAACGATATGCAGAAGAATACAGACAGAATGGGACAATTCAACCGAAACATTAATACCAAAGTCTCCCTGGAGTATACGTATCTGTATAATCGCCCTGCATGCGGTATATTATTAGTTATGGTGTCTTTAGTTGCAATACACGGCGTCATATTAGGATAGCAGGCGTCAAGGGTCAAAGGGAGACTACTCTTCAAACCTTAGAGGCCAAACCTTGTTGACAATTTTAACTATAATCTTCATCAATCAGGTCACAAACGTTATTTAATAAAGATTAATGCCCTTGCACATCATAATTAATGATATAAAAACACAAAACAGTGTCGAAAACGAATTTCTGTAGCGGAAGTTTCATGTTAATACATGTATGTGAAGTGGGTATGGGAAATCCAAGACGGCTGTAACTGACTGTATAGGTCTAATATTAGGGCGATCCCACTTTGGGGCATAAGTGTGTTGTTGCTGGCTGCGGTGCCAATTATATGCATCATGGAGCTATCAATCTATCCATATATGCTCTAGTATACCCTGTTCTCGACCTCCAATACACCCCGCTGTCGACCTCAAATACACCCTGCTGTCAATCTCCAATACACCCTGCTGTCAATCTCCAATACACCCTGCTGTCAATCTCTAATTCATCCTTCTGTCGACCTCCAGCATACCCCGCTGTCGACCTCAAATACACCCTGCTGTCAATCTCTAATACACCCTGCGGTCAATCTCTAATTCACCCTGCAAAAATTTGATAGTAAACTATGGAGATACAGACAAACATCACCCGAAAATCCACCTCGATCATGGTGTCTTGTGGCAAATGAAGAAAAACAAACATGGTCTGGGAAATAGTATTCTGTAATACCATTATCCGGTTGCATAGTTTCTATTAAACTTATGATGTGATACGAGGAGATAAAAAGAAAATAAATCTTGATGAGACAGATGTGAGTGCAGCCCACATAAATTTCACGAACACACAGTGACAGTGTCCGTCTTATCGATTTTCTCAACTGCTTGGAAGGTATTATCTAGGCCACGGCCGAGTCCCTATGGGCCACTAGTGTAAGCTTGGTCGCGCTGTTCTATGTTTGGATTTGGATCCAATTCGCGTTAGGGTTACCTTGTCTTCATCCAGTATGTGAACATCGCCTTCAGTCACAAGTTTATCGTACGAGAGATAAGCCGATTTCCCTGAATCCCGTGCTTGGACAAGAAAAGGCTTACCTTTAGTCTTATCAGGGTCGTGTAGTCATCAGAGACTCTCATTTCTTTCACATCCTTTAATATATCCCTTGCTGCACTCACAACCACTTGCTTGTCTTTGTAGAGGCTAAATTTCACTATAACATGCTTGATGGCAGACCTGGTATTCAGACGATGTGCACGATCTATTTTGATCATACCCGAGTTTTCCAGCCTCATGAGTGTACGTTGGACTGCGTGTAGTGTGTAGGGGGTATATATAGGGCGAGTATTGGTCTATTGCCAAATAAGGAATGCGATTGGTGAACAGGCTATAGGAGTAAACCTTTACATAAAATAATAAATTTGATTAACTCTACCTACTGTTGCAAATATCATGATGCAAATATACAAGTCCCACATAACTACACACATACATATACCGTTACATAGCCAAACCGGCACATCCATGTGCATATATAGAGAATACTAAAACGAGCTCCCGTGTAATACCTATTTTATGAAACGAGTGAATAGTTCTGACGAGCGAAAGCGAGTTTCATAAAGAAAATGGTTTTACACGGGAGCGAGTTTAGTATCATCACTTGTCATTTGAACGTACTTTGCAAAAATCAACTGATTGACTTCGTAATCGCTTCCTGAGTCCCGAGTTCACTATCATGCCATGCGTATGAATACAAAGTCATGCAAATAGGCATCATATAGTCCAAATAAATCTCACAATTTAATCAATTCCAATGGAGAAAAATCCCGAACACTCATATTTTCCACAACAAACCTACTTTAATGGATTCTCACAAAACTGCGAAATTGCTGTGGCGTTACGAAAACAATAACAAAACAGGTTTAATCGTGCGATGACAAGGCAATAATTATTAGTTTAAATCACAAGTTCTAGATCATGTAAATATAAGAACAGAGTGTCGCTATAAGAGACTGGAGTCCTTACTGTCCACATAACTAGACTTACCTATTAGGAAGATAGAATTACTATATCAACAACTATTGGATTGATGCAACTGTAAAGAAGGCACATATTTAAATTTTATTTCTTTTAGATTTTACAATAAACAAGTGAACATACTGTACACTAGCAAGGTTAATGTCAGTGGATGTTTTAGTATATCCATACACTACTGAATCTAAGTCGTATTTTATATGGCAGTACATCTTATTACGAAGATTGCAATGATTGCATGAAAAGAAGTAACGTGTAGGGTTCTCATAATGGTTTCTACAGTGAGTGAGTGAGTTGGGTTTAACGCCGCTTTTAACAGTATTCCAGTTATATCGCGGCGTGTCAGCTTAATGTGGGAGGAAAGCCCGAAGTGACGCAGGTCTCAGACGTTTACCACTTCAGTGAAACCAACGAGCACGGGCATGGTGCTGACAAACCTAAAAACATAACCGGGGCTAACCGGGATTTGAACCCATAATCATAGGTTCCTGGCGTGCCCAAGGGACGCAACTCTGCACAGAGAAACACGGCGCCTAAGAGGACTTGGTCACCCGTGCCCCCTGGTTTCTACAAGAACAGATAGTATACTCATGAATATGTCTGTGATATTGTGTGCATATAAATCACTGCCTGTCCTGATGCTGGAGTGGAGATTGTGACAGAATAGCTCATGACAGGTAGTTCATGAGGATGTCACCCTCTCTTGCTGCTTGTTGTTTAACGCCGCTCTCCAGCTACATGACGGCGGTCTGTAAATAATCGAGTCTGAACCAGACAATCCAGTGACTGACGTCATGAGCATCGCTCCACGCAATTGGAATACGATGACATGCATCAACCAAGTCAGCGAGTCTGACCACCCGATCCTGTTAGTCGCCTCTTACGACCAGCATAGTCGCCTTTTACAGCATGCATGGGTTGCTGAAGACCTATTCTACCCCGCACCTTCACGGGTCCGCCTTTTACAGCAAGCATGGGTTGCTAAAGACCTATTCTACCCCGGACCTTCACGGGTCCGCCTTTTAAAGCACGCATGAGTTGCTGAAGACCTATTCTACTCCGGACCTTCACGGGTTCGCCTTTTACAGCAAGCATGGGTTGCTGAAGACCTATTCTACCCCGGACCTTCACGGGTCCTTGTTTTCTGTACAACAATGTGACATACAGGGTGTTATCAAATATTATAAGCATGTGCACCAGCCACGCTATAAGGATCGATATGCCGTACATGCATACTACCAAGATTCACTCACATATATGATATATAAATAGCTATGTTCCATAGTACTGATACATGAACATCTCACGCATACATACAGTGGAATCCCTCTTCCCCGGACTCCAGACACGCACTTTCCTCGCCTATCGGATGATATTACGTGAAACGATAGAAATACTACAAACAACGTCAGTTAATGTGTTTGGTTGGTTGGTTTGTTGTTTAACGCCGCACTCAGCAATATTCTAGCTATATGACGGCGGTCTGTAAATAATCGAGTCTGGACCAGACAATCCAGCGAGTGATGCCATTAGCATTGGGATCGATGACAACCAAATCAAGCATAGTCGCCTTTTACAGCAAGCATGGGTTGCTGAAGACCTATCCTACCCCGGATCTCTACGGGTAAAAGTCAATGTGTATTGCCAAGAGTTCAGAACACACACAATTGCATCTCACTTACCGGACAGCGACCACGCTTCATCATGTTACTTAGTAACATGTCTCCATCGCCATTGTCGTCGGATACTGAGGTTCGGTTTGAGACGGTTCCATCAATCAACATGCAATAACGCCGACCGAGTTATGCCAGTACATTGAGTCACAGTCAACAAATGCACCGAAAGTTTATGCCCTTTGTCTGTTTAATATATTCAGCAAACATTCGGCATTTACCTTCTTAGCAGAAGCCCCTCCGTGCAGGACCCTTAATCTCTAGCGCTCGTTCGTCACCACTCGCCCCTGGCTCCGTAATAAATCATGGACACTAACTCCTGCGTCCAATGGGTACTACACATGCGTCTAGTGGGGACTATACCAGCGTCTAGTGGGGACTATACCAGCGTCTAGTGGGGACTACACCAGCGTATAGTGGGGTCTGCACCTGCGGCTAGTGGGGACTACACCTGCGTCTAATTGGGACTATACAAGCGTCTAGTAGGAACTGCACCAGCGTCAAGTGGGGACTACACCTGCGGCTAGTGGGGACTATACCAGCGTCTAGTGGGGACTATACCAGCGTCTAGTGGGGACTACACCAGCGTATAGTGGGGTCTGCACCTGCGGCTAGTGGGGACTACACCTGCGTCTAATTGGGACTATACCAGCGTCTAGTAGGAACTACACCTGCGTCTAATGGAGACTACATCTGCGGCTAGTGGGGACTATACCAGCGTCTAGTGGGGACTATACCAGCGTCTAATGGGGACTACACCAGCGTATAGTGGGGTCTGCACCTGCGGCTAGTGGGGACTACACCTGCGTCTAATTGGGACTTTACCAGCGTCTAGTAGGAACTACACCAGCGTCAAGTGGGAACTACACCTGCGGCTAGTGGGGACTATACCAGCGTCTAGTGGAGACTATACCAGCGTCAAGTGGGGACTACACCTGCGTCTAATTGGGACTATACCAGGGTCTAGTAGGAACTACACCTGCGTCTAAAGGAGACTACAGCTGCGGCTAGTGGGGACTATACCAGCGTCTAGTGGGGACTATACCAGCGTCTAGTGGGGACTACACCAGCGTATAGTGGGGTCTGCACCTGCGGCTAGTTGGGACTACACCTGCGTCTAATTGGGACTATACCAGCGTCTAGTAGGAACTACACCTGCGTCTAATGGAGACTACACCTGCGGCTAGTGGGGACTATACCAGCGTCTAGTGGGGACTATACCAGCGTCTAGTGGGGACTACACCAGCGTATAGTGGGGTCTGCACCTGCGGCTAGTGGGGACTACACCTGCGTCTAATTGGGACTATACCAGCGTCTAGTAGGAACTACACCTGCGTCTAATGGAGACTACACCTGCGGCTAGTGGGGACTATACCAGCGTCTAGTGGGGACTACCCCTGCGTCTAATGGGGACTACACCAGCGTCTAGTGGGGACTACATCAGCGTCTAGTGGGGACCACACCTGCGGCTTGTGGGGACTTTACCAGCGTCTAGCGGGAACTACACCAGCGTCTAATCACCACTACAGCAGCGTCTAGTGGGGACTACACCAGCGTCTAGTGGGGACTATACCAGCGTCTAGCGGGAACTACACCAGCGTCTAATCACCACTACAGCAGCGTCTAGTGCGGACAACACCTGCGTCTAGTGGGGACTATACCAGCGTCTAGCGGGAACTACACCAGCGTCTAATCACCACTACAGCAGCGTCTAGTGGGGACTACACCAGCGTCTAGTGGGGACTACAGCAGCGTCTAGTGGGGACCACACCTGCGGCTTGTGGGGACTATACCTGCGGCTAGTGCGGACAACACCTGCGTCTAGTGGGGACTATACCAGCGTCTAGTGGGGACAACACCTGCGGCTTGTGGGGACTATACCAGCATCTAGTGGGGACTATACCAGCATCTAGTGGGGACCACACCTGCGGCTAGTGCGGACAACACCTGCGTCTAGTGGGGACTACACCAGCGTCTAATCACAACTACAGCAGCGTCTAGTGGGGACTACACCAGCGTCTAATCACAACTACAGCAGCGTCTAGTGGGGACTACACCAGCGGCTAATCACAACTACAGCAGCGTCAAGTGGGGGCTACACCCGCGTCTAGAGGGGACTACACCTGCGTCTAGTGGGGACTACACCAGCATCTAGCGGGAACTACACCAGCGTCTAATCACAACTACAGCAGCGTCTAGTGGGGACTACACCAGCGGCTAATCACAACTACAGCAGCGTCAAGTGGGGACTACACCTGCGTCTAGTGGGGACTACACCTGCGTCTAGTGGGGACTACACCTGCGTCTAGTGGAAATTACACCAGCATCTAGTAATCACTGCACCAGCGTCTAGTGGGGACTACATCTGCGTCTAGTGGGGACCACACCTGCGTCTAGTTGGGACTACACCTGGGTCTAGTGGGGACTACATCTGCGTCTGGTGAAGACTACACCAGCGTTTAATGATCACTACATATGCATCTAGTGAGGACTACACCAGCGTCTAGTGGGGACTATACTTGCGTCTAAGAAGAAAAAACATGTTCGCCTGTACCGTAGAAGAAAGAGTACGTTCGCCTGTACCGTAGAAGAAAGAGTACGTTCGCCTGTACCGTA